CACACACTGGACAGCACTGCCTCCGGCACGCACGCACAACACACACTGGACAGCACTGCCTCCCGCACGCACGCACAACACACACTGGACAGCACTGCCTCCCGCACGCACACACAACACACACTGGACAGCACTGCCTCCCGCACGCACACACAACACACACTGGACAACAGTGCTTCACCCAGCCACAGAAACTGGGCACAGGCAGACCCGACCATGCAGAGAACACAGGCTCACTGACCACAGGCTGGACACAGGCAGACCTGGCTGTACAGAGAACACAGGCTCACTGACCACAGGCTGGACACAGGCAGACCTGGCTGTACAGAGAACACAGGCTCACTGACCACAGGCTGGACACAGAAACATTTCAAATCCCAATGTGGGCTGAAAACAAGTCCCCCAGTCCTGCAGTGTCAGTGAGTCCGCAGGTCCGACAGCCTGCAGGACCATCGATGGACACCGGCCTGAGGCGTTCACAGTTACTGCTGGCACATCAGGCCCCCGGCGAGCCAGGGCGCGGTACTTACTCTCCATAAGCCCCCTCTCCCAGCGTCTGCACCACGTCCCAGTCCTGCACGAAGGGCACGGCCATGTCCAGGGCTCAGGGACACACACACCTGCTCGCCCGGCCAGACGAGAGCAGAGACAGTCAGAGCACCTACAGGCGCCAGCGGTATCACACACAGCTGCACCCCTGACACACCGGCCACTGCGGCTCCGGCAAGACAGCACCCTCACCAGAACCGACACCCGCCCCGGGCTCCGGTCCTCTCGGTACCAGAACCGACACAGGGACACCTGGAACACGCTGAAGAGCCCGTCCGGGCCGCGGCGCACAGCAGGGAGCTTTTAGAAACGCCTTTGACTCGGATCGAAAAGGCGCTGCGCTTCGCACCCAACTTCTCGACAGACGGCAGCAGTCCGCATCACGGCAGACCAAGGCGATCGTTGCCCGTATTTCGGATTTTTTTAAAATCAGTTTACCCCTCCGAAATAACTGCACGGCCGCGCTTTGGCGCGCTCCGGTCTCAAATCTCCTCCACGCTCCTTCCGCTCTGGGCTCACGCACTTCCTGTTGACGTCGGCAGCAGGGGAGATGGGCGACATGCGAATGACGTCAGCGGGACGACTCTAATCCGCCATCTTGCTGTTGGGTGACAGCGCAGCGTTTTCAAAAGCGAATGAAATAGCGCTTTGTTCACTAGTACACGTTTCCGAGATGTGTTTTTTCGGGGTCGTGACGTCAATCAGCCCCCCTATAATGTCGTAGGGAAACCGGGCCGGTCTCATTCGTTAGTGCTGCGTTTGTGCTGCTTCCATTCCCGAGATATAGCGCCGTGTTTTTCCTGTGATCAAGTGACCATGCACGGTGCCTTTGACCTCCAGTGACCCCGTCTGCGGACCATGGCAATATTGGAAACATGTTTTTTATTTTCACATAACAGAAGCGAACTTATATCTGCATTTTTTAATAAACTCATTAGCCGTGTGTTTGTATTTACAGGAGTCTTATGCGCAAATATGAAGCGATGAGCTCACAGTCCTTGTATCTTCGTGTTTCCGGCCAGTCTTGGTGTAGAATACAGCGTGAGGGCACACCTGCCCCCTGAAGACACAGGTGTGGGCGCCTGTGTTAGATCCTCAGGTGAAGTCGAGTCTTATGCAGTCTGCGATGTACTGACCCAGACATGTTTGCTTGTCCTGCTCCATGAAGGTTCCCACCCGCCCGTCGAACAGCACAAACGACGGTTTGTGTTGCTGTAATTAGCGTTTGTGCTGCTTTCGTTTCCGAGATATAGCGCCTTGATTTCGGGTAATCACGTGACCATCTACAAGGAAGTTTACAGGTACCAACAAACTCGGTGCTTGAACTCCTGATTGTGATGAAAACAATGGGGGCAATGGGGGCCAGGCAGGCAGGACTGTTTGACGGCTCTCTGAACGATGGCGCCGGCCGCAGCAGTGTCCCCGACCCTCTCTGGGGGATCTGTTGGGAAGTCCTCTCCAGCCACGGCCTGCCTCCGCTCACAGAGGACTCCCAGCTGAGGACTGGCAGGAACAGGACCGCAGCGGGTCCCGTCGGTTCCCACATGGCAAGCACCATGTCAGCCTGTAGACTTACTACATCGCGTCTGCGGGGAACTGAACACAAAGCTGAAATGCCTGTATCCCAGGCAACGAACCACCAGCAAGCAGCAGGAAGCTGAAGGCTGAAGGATGGTGCTGCACAGCAGGACAGCTGCTGTAGGGTCACCCGCTGTGCCCCAGGGCAGAGAACAGGCCAGACACCAGGGTTCAGTTAAAAAAGCCTTCTCTCTTTAATCATCCCCTCCCCCGATCACAACAGGACGACTATTACCAGAGCCACAATGGAATTCACTGTACACAAGTCCCGGGTTTGTCCCATAATAATACAACTTCTTTTTTTACATTATACAAGTCCCTTCAGGTTAGGAGGTCTTCAAGAAGAAAAAAAAAAAACAAACAAAATCATGTTATCCTCTTTTTGCGGCCTGCAGGGCGTCCCGTCTCCGAGATGAGAATCCATCGCTAGGCAACGGCGCCCAGCGCGACCACAGAGCCGAACGAGCCGCGCCGCGGGAAGACCACCATGGAGAAGAGGGTCGCTCCGTCTGCAAGCGAGAGCCCCCCGGTGGTCGCCGGCCGCAGGCGGGGCTCCGGGCAGCTCAAGGGCGCTCGCTCTCTGCGCCCCAGAGGCTCGGACAGGACACGCGCTCCTCCTCTCCATACCCTGCACGGGGAGCCCCTCAGAAACAGGGCAAAACGCACCCCCTCTGCTCCTGGGGGTGTCTGCAGGCGAGAGGCATCTCGGGGCGCAGGAGGAGGGAGGGGGGAGTCTACCGCAGCGACATCTTCACTCCGGCTCTCCGCAGCCCTCGGACACAGAAAACGTCCAACCTTGACCTTCTAAGAAAATAAAAGCTCTAATATATTACACCGAACCTCCAACAGAAAAAGCCGCACGGATGCGTTTTATCCCTGGAACCCAGCGTCCCGTTCTTCCTGCCCTGCGCCCTGGGTCAGGGCTTGGCGATGTGGACCTCGCTGGCGCCGCTGCCGTTGGTGGTGGTGGTGATGATGTACTGCGCCGCGGGCGGCTGGGCGGCGGCCTGCTGCTGCGGCTCCAGCTGGTCGGGGTGCACGGGGGCGCTGCTCTGGGGAACGGCCGCCTGCTTGGGGTCCAGCTCCGCCTGCCCCTCCGAAATCACGTAGTGCGTCTGCAGGAAGAGGGGTGGGGGGGGTCAGACAGCCGTCTCAAGCAAAAGCCTGAGCCGCACAGTCCAGACACCTGGCGCCTGTGACCGGGACTCCCAGCGCCCTGCTGCCGGCGCCCCGGACCGAGGCCTGCTGCCGTACCCTGCTGTCGCCGAGAGCTGCACACACTGCAGAGGGAGTGCCTGCGATACAGGCGTCAGCGAGGAGCGGGAGGCGAGGCCCACAGCAGGAAGCTCAGGGCTGAAGGATGTTGCTGCACAGCAGGACAGCCCGTTTAGGGGTCACTCGCTGTGCCCCAGGCCAGACAGAAGGCTTTTTTTAACCAAGCCCCGGTTCTTTAGTCATCCCCTCCCCTGGAGATGGGGACAGGATGACAGGGCTCCTCCACTGGGTGCCAACCCTCCTTCAGGCGCTGCGGGGCTCTCCGCAGGCCAGCGTGTCGGAGAAGGGCAAGGAGGGGGCCTCTGATTTTAACAGCCGTCTTGGGGGGGACACAACCCAAATACCTGACAAACCCTCCGGAGCCACCGACTTGTAAGAAACCTGCTGCACGTTCGAGTGACATCGCTGTGACAGGGACACCTTCCACAGAAGACCACCCCCCCCCCGACTCGCTCGGATGTCAACAGGCCGAAACCTCCTGACCTGGGACATGGTTTTGACCTGACCGCTGTTCACCGCGCTCACTGGGGCCCCGGTCTCGGCGATCACGTACTGGGCGTGGGGGAGAGTCATCATCTGGATCTCCGAGGCTGGACAGAAGAACGAGAGAGGAATGTAAAAAGCCTGGAACAGGGCTTTGAAAGACACCGACCTTCTCTTCACCCCCTCGACCAACAGCACAATGTGTATCGAGTACGGTCAGCACCGGTCAAAGATGACAAGATGTACATCAGCAATGGGGAAAACCAACAGGGCGGCCCAAGATCTTTTCCGGTTTCTCAGTCCAGTTACATTCTTCAAATTACAGGGAAGGTTTGGGAGCAACACCGAGCCCGAGGACAATCCTGTTGGCTCGTCTTCACTGCGAGAAGATCTCTAGCTGGGGTACAGAGGGACTCATGCTAGAAAGTGTGCTTCAGCAGGTGGGGAGGACATCCCCAGCTACAAGTCACGATCTCGAAGATGCCATACAGCTTTCGAAAAAGACACAGACTGCCACTACACTTAGGAAACAGAGGCAGGGTATTTCAGCACTTTTTCATAAAACGGAGCCAGCTGTCCATTCTGGAACACAGAGATATTTTCTAATCCCAGGGGCCGATCAGTGAAAAAGAAGAAGGGCTCATTCGGGTCGTGAAAACTATGACCAGCGTGTTGCTCTCCCCATTCTCTCTCTACACAGTATTCCGGACTCTGGAGCACTGCCGCACACAAACACGGAGTGCATGGTATGAGCACATGACATGCGTGTGCTTATAGCAGGGTCTCCAGTCCTGGTCCTGCAGGGTTTCTGGGTCCCGACAGCAGCGGAGGGGATGGGAGTGATCACCCACAGGCAAATACCGGCAACCACACCCACCCTCCAGGGCCAGGGCTGGGGGCCTCTGTATGAAACACGAATATGTCCAGCCCAGTCACTCACAGTAGCCCCTGTAGTTCCAGTTGCTGGGCAGGTAGGCGTGCTGCACTGCCCCCTGCTGCTGAGACGAGGGTGTCTGCAGGGTGTGGCTCTGCGCCAGGGTTACCGGGGTGACGGTCTGTAACTGGGAGGGGCTCAGCTCCTGCGTCGCCTGCTGGGAGGAGGGGCTAAGTGGCTGCCCAGCTACCTGGGAATAAAAGGGAGAAGAGTCTTTAGACGAGCTGGCCAATCCTGAAGAGAACAGGACCTGGCTCCCTTGAACACCATTAACCACAGCTTTTCTAATCATGCACACAAACATCTTTACATTTCTTTGTATCAAGGGTTTCTTGTCCCAATTTCTGCCCCAGTTGACACGGTACTCATCTGATAAAAGAGCAGCACAAACTGAAGATGCTTTAAAGCCATAAGTGAATCTTCAGCAAAGAAACTTCGATGACAACGGTTCCCAGCACATGACCTGCCCTGCTCTGGCTTCAGATTACAAAACGCTGCTCTCTCCACTTGCTGC